CAAATCATTAAATTATGCAATTAGCATACGTGCACCTGATACGTGGTGCTTGGGGGTTTCCAGAATACGTGCACCTAATACGTGGTGCTTGGGGGTTTCACATACCATGTCTCACACATATATTCACAGAGCCTCGACAAAACCCCAAAACCAATTAAAGAGTCAAGAGTCAGAGGTACTACAGGCTTAAATGTGAATGAATCAACTCCTCTGGAAATTGTTATTGCATCCCCAAACAGAGGAAAAGTTCATCTATGCCATCAGTCCATACCTTCCGGATGTCAAATGTGGCAAGTGTTTGTGCAGTAGACGGTGGCGGAGCCTTTCCTAGTCGCTGATGCTCAATGCAAACTCTCAGTAGGTGTGCTGACTGCGTCTTTGTGTCAACATCCGCAGGAGCATACCAGTCCATGACTGTAACACAGAGAACAGACGAATTGAGAGAGTGAGCTCACACCTTCATCATGTCTTTCTTATCCCTCCCTTATGCGTCCCTCATGTCTTTCTGATCATATCCTTATGTTCTCCTTATCTTCACAGATATACTCTAGAAGATCCTCTTTCCATGCATTTTTCAGTTCTAGACCTGGGGAATCCCCATGGCCCTCCTTAATTCATCTGCTTAATGCCTCTTTGACAAGTTCTGAAGAATGCCAGCAGTGCTCTTACGTCATGACTTCTTTCAGCGCTGGTCTGTGGGCGGCCCAGCTGGGGGAAGATTGCCCAGGTATCCACATGGGTGGGACCGGCTGGGACGGGTCCGGGCAGGATCCCAGGCGGTCCCAGCGCATAATCTCTATCTCTATACTTATAGAATGAAAAATGGTCCTCGCATGATTTCCGTGGGCCCATGAAAGTTCGTGGGGGGAGTAGGACCTGCCAGGCCGCACAGCACTTGGGGAGGACCTTGAGCGCGAAGCATCGAATGTTCGAATACAAGCGCATAGCAAGTCGGTTGGGTGCACGTTGTTTCGCAAGTCTTTTTGTCTTTTTTTGGGGGGTGGCCGTGCGTCTTTCTGCCTGAGGTCGCATCGCCGTTCGAGTACATAGCAAGGCCTGGGCCTTGCTGTACCGCTCACCATCTGCCAGCCGGAGCGGGAGATTCATTCCACTTGGCACATTTAGTGAGTAGTCGAGCGAAGCTCGGGGAAAAGGCTGAGCGGGAGGAGGAGGGGCGGGATGACAGGCGGGATGATGAGCGGGAGGACAAGGGGTAGAACAGGGGGAGAACTAGTGGAATGAAGACGATGAGTGGGAGGAGGTGGACAACGAACGGCAGGAAGAGTGGCAGGAGCAGCACAACGAGGAGGGGGAAGACGAGTAGGAGGTACTCACCAGATGCAGGAAGGCAAAAAATATGACCGTGTATCTTCCCATGTTCCAGCAAAGACTCATTCTAATGTGCAAGAGGGAAAGGACTGTGGACAGGGGGAGAAGTGACATGAGGAATGCAAGAAAGAGGGGGAAGACGACAAGTGGGAGGTGGATGACAAACGGGGGGAAGATTGGCAGGAGGGGGAGCGTGATGAGGAAGGGGAGGACGTGGACAACGAACGGGAGGAAGAGTGGCCGGAGGAGGAGCGTGATGAAGGGGGGGGAATAATAGGAGGAGGAACTAGCTGCATACAGGAAAGACAAAATATGGCCACGTACGGTGGCACGTGGAGGAGTACAAGGAGGACGGGGAAGACAATGAGCGAGAGAAGGTGGACGATGAACGGGAGGAAGAGTGGCAGGAGGAGGAGTGTGCTGAGGAGGGGGAAGACGAGTAGGAGGAACTCGCCGCATGCAGGAAAGACAAAAAAATATGGTTGTGCATCGTCCCATGTTCCAGCGGAAGATTCATTCTCATTTTGCGCATTTGGCGAGTGGTGGAGTGAAGCCCGGTGAGGGGAGGGGAAGGAAGGGGAGGGTGCCCACGT